GCTTCTTCACCTTAAGCTTAGATTGCAGACCACATCCTTTTGGCCAATCTCGTACGCATGATGGCTGGTATATTGGACTTGATGGCTCCTCCAACATGTTCTCCAGCCATATAACGAGACCATCGTCACCTTCCTCGTCCGACTCGCCTGGGTTGATGATCACTTTCGTATCACCCTGTGCCCGCGCGCATGCTGCTGCCCTGCACCCATGCACGTTGATGAGGATCGTGTGTTTCGCCTGCCGATAAGCCGCTAACTCGCGCCTTGAATCGCCGATAGTGTTTCTCTAGCCACAACCGCGCCTATTGAAACGAATAAAATTGCAATAGATTCTTGGTGAAAAACTAAAGCAAAGTGGAAGAACAATATTCTGGATTTCTATTAATTCTTGAATGATGAAAAATAACATAGAGGAAAGGCCTTTATATAGGCACAAGATTGGTCTAAGTCTAATCTACCTAGGAAATAAATAAGCAATAAAATATTAAGTATCCTAATTAATCTAGATCTCATAATGTTATAAGGGAACTAAATAATTTGGCTTGCAAACCAAGGAATTCTCTTTTATTCTCTCCCTCTCTCTCGGCGCCTCACACACCGACCCTCGCGCGACCGCCTTCGCGCGTTATCTAGTCTCTGCGGCACTAGGCGCGCCGCCTTAGCGCGCGCGTGCATTGGTGCCTGGCGTGGCGCGCACGCCTGTCTTGCCTGCGCCGCCCATGTGCGCATGAACGCCCGCCAATCCGCATTCCTCGAGGACTACGGCTTTGTGCCCCGTGCGTCCTGTTCTCTCACGCGTGTTGCACGCGCCCTCGCCACTAAAAGCTCCCCGCGCGCGTACGGCCCCGTCTTCCCACATGCCTCGAGGCATAAGGCCTCGCGCACGCGTGCCTTGTCTACGCGCGACCTTTCCGCGTGCGCGCTCGTTCGGCCCGTACTGCGCGCGTGGTCACCAACTGCCTGCGTGCATCCGTCCGTGCCTTCACGCTGGTCATCTTCGCACGCCAAGCGTGCATCCCCATTGATAGCGCGCATCTCAGCCATCCCTCGTGCTAGCCTCTTGCGTGCGTGGTAAGTGGGACTTGCGGAGTTCTTGAGATATCTAGCCACTTATGCATCATTCTTGTCCCCTTCAAGTGCTTCCTTGTCCTCAAGGATGAAATTCAGAAACTGATCGCGCATCTCATCAAGATCTTCCCACGTGGCTTCCTCGGGTGGCAACTCTTCCCAATCGACTAGCACTTCCCAACGATAGCGCCCTGCTTTCCTTACCTTACGATACTCAATCACTTGCTTTGTGCGCACGATGATTCTTCCATCGGTCGCGGTTGTTGGTAACTCCTCACAATACTTCTGCGCTTCTCCCAAACTTCTTTTGAGTTGTGAGACATGGATAACCGGATGGATCTGAGAACTTTCTAGCAGTTCTAGACGATAAGCTACCTGACCAATGCGCTTCAGAATCTGATAAGGCCCATAATATCGAACTCCCAGCTTAGTTGCTGCCCTTTGTGCTGTTGTGCGCTGTCTGAATGGTCGTAGCTTTAGATAAACATACTCTCCCGGTACAAAGTTTTCCTCACGTCTTTTTCCATCCGCGAAGGCTTTGGTGCGGTTAATTGAGCCTTCGAGATTTTTCTTTAATTCTCGCAACATCAAATCTCGCTCCTCGAGTTCTCGACCAACCTTGTCGTTGACTGTACTCCCCTCTGAGTAATTGATCAATGTAGGGGTTTACGTCCGTATACTAGCTCAAACGGCGTCATCTTGGTCGACTCGTGATAAGTGGTGTTGTACCAATACTCAACCCAAGGTAAAAATTTTCCCATCTCTTTGGAAATTGGTGGACATAGCACCTTAAGTACTGCTCAAGAGTTCGGTTGGTTACCTCAGTTTGTCCATCTGTCTCTGGGTGGTAGGCTGAGCTCATAGATAACTTGTTCCCTTGCAACTTAAAGAATTCAGACAAAAATCTGCTCATAATGATCCGGTCTCGATCAGAGATGATAGATCGTGGTGCTCCATGAAGTTTTATCACGTACTCCACAAATAGCCT